CGCCTCCCTCTTTGGTCATTCATGCGGGTTCCCGCCAGCTTCAGCGCCCCGCCCCACAGCAGCCTGACTGGGCGGGCCCCAGGGCCTTTGCACCATCGGTGTCCTCTGTCCAGAAGTCTCTTCACCCACATGTTGATATGGCTGTCTGTGCTCCTTCGCGTCTCTGCTCTAATGTCCTCTCGGCAGACAGGCTGTCCAGGCCATTTGGGGATAAAACAGCCTCCCTTTCTAGCCCCAACCCTGCCACTGCCACTCTGCCACTTTGGCCTGAGCCCCCATTAGCACTCAGTTGGATGGCAGCAGCAGCTCCTCACTGGGCTCCCCCTGCCCTCTGACCCCACCCATAACCTCTCCCTCTGGCAATTTCTTCCCCATCCAGCAGCCAGAGCATGCCTTCTACTGAGATCACATCATCCCTGGGTTCCAAACCCTCCGGCGGCTCTCCGTGTCACTGTAAATCAAAGCATGAGTCCTTACAGTGACCTCAGGGCTCTGCATGACTGGTCCCTCTTTCCCATCGCTGCTCTGGCCCCTGTCCACCCACTCTCCTCGTTGCTCAAGCAGCTCCAGCCAGCTCCAGGCACACTGGCTTCTTAACTGGCCCTCAAACACACCTGCCCCAGGGCCTTTGCACTCGTTGCCTCTTTGCCTGGAATACTCTTCACTCAAGTATCTGCTTGATTTGCTCCTTCACTCCATCAGGTCTCAGCTCAAATGTCACCTCCTAAAACAGGCCTCACTTGCCATCCCCTCAACAACACATTCTGTAGTACATCGCCTGCCTGCTGTCTTAAGAGCGTGCATCTCTACAAAATCACCTTCTTTGTCTTGTTTTCCTCACCAAAGCATCCACTCCCAGAAAGTGTCTCTGCTGACTCGGCCCCGGAGAATCCCTGGAGGAAGTAAGTGCTGGGTGACGGGTTTCAATCTATCCAACAATTCGTGGATTCCTCGCATCCAGTCCCATCTCAGCTCTGGTGCCCCTCCCAGGGGGTCCAGGTCCCCATAGGGATGGGGTGACAGGTGTCCTGGCTGGTGACAGGAGCATACCCACACAGGCCAGTGCTGCAGGGGCTCCATGGAGTCTCAGGGTCCAGGAGTGGCCTGCCGAATCTGTCTTCACAGGGGCCTGTAGGCCCCTGGCATGTCACAAAGTCTTCAAGAGGGTCCACAAGGCAGGCAAAGGGTTTTAAAACTCATCTTTCCTGACCTCAAGTCCCACGGACCCTCTGTCCAAAACATCGGGGCCTGGAGAAAGGAAAGGCCCCCTTCAGTTTCCCTTTCCCAATCACCCTTCCTAGTTCACTCAAGAAGGCTCCAGCAGCGTGGACCCCACTCCAAACTGCTCAGATCTGTGAAGAGGGGTTGCTAGGGCTTACATCTCAAAGAGAAAAAAGAAAGTAGGAATGGGACTGACCATGAGCCCCATCTCATGCTGGTGATAAGTCTTAACTCTTTGTGGACACTTGGACTAACTGATGTAAACTGAAGCCCCATCTTACTCACTTGTTTAATAATTATGCACCCACAAGTCTAAGCCACTGCCCCATGGTCATTGGTTATAACAAGAAATGTGATTTATGTTTTGGAGAAGTATGATCCATAAGTAATGAAAAGCTGTCCCCTCTCTGAAGGGCAGCAGATGAAGAGTGGAGGCAAGAAGAAAAGGACCCACTTCCAAAGTGAGTCTGTAGCATCAAAACACCTGTGGAAGTGTCAAAAGTGATATCACAGTTTTTGTTTTCAATCAGTATTTACAATACACGCCCTTCGAAACTGTTTAAGCATCTGTTGAAATGCTGTAGATGTCAGCTTCAAGGTACATCTGTGTGTGTTACGTCCTGGTGGATAAAGAGCTTTTCAAAGTCCTTTCAGGGGACTCCTTACAGAAAAACTAATTCAAAGTGGATCACAGACCTAAATGTAAAATGCCAAACTTCTAGAAGAAAACATAGGAGAGAATCTGTCTTACCTTGGGCTTGGTGATGAGTTTTTAGATACAATATGAAGAAAGAAAAAATAATAAATTGGACTATATCAAAATGTTAAATGTTTGCTCTGTGAACAACACTGTTAAGAGAATGGAAAGACAAGCCACAGGCTGGGGGAAAATCTTTGCAAAAGACTTCTCTGAGATAGGACTTGTATCCAAACTATACAAGGCACTCTTCAAACTCAGTAAGAACACAAGCAGCCCAGTTAAAATATGAGCTAAAGGTCTGAACAGATACCAAAGAAGAAATACAGAATGCAAAATTCTTTCATACAGAACTATGAAAAGATGTTTACCATCATATGTCATTAGGAAATTGCGATTTAAAACGATGATGAGATACTACTACATGCCTACGAAAATGGCCAAAACCCAGAACACTGACAATGCAAACACTGATGAGGGTGTGGAGCAACAGGGGTGCTCATTCATTGCTGGATGAAATGCAAAATGGTTGGTTCAGCCACTCTGGAAGACAGTTTGGTGGTTTCTTATAAAACTAAACATACTCTTAGCATACAATCCAGCAACAGCACTCCAAGGAATGTCTTGCTCCACGTCAAGGTATCTTACCCAAAGGAGTTGAAAACTTATGTCCACAGAAAAACCAGCACACCAATGTTCATAGTAGCTTTATTCATAACTGGCAAAAACTGGAAGCAACCAAGATGTCCCTCATTAGGTGCGTGAATCAACACACTGTGGTCCATGCAGTCAATGGCATACTATTCAGTGATAAAGAGGAGCTATGAAGCCAGGAAAAGAAATGAATGGGGGGAGGATATAGCTCAAACACTAGAGCACATGCTTAGCATGCACAAAGTCCTGGGTTCAATCCCCAGTACCTCCTCTAAAAATAAATACATAAATAAATAAACCTAATTGCCCCCCCCAAGAAAGAAATGGATGGATCTTAAATGCACACTGCTAAGTGAAAGAAGCCAGTTTAAAAAAGTCTACACTGCAAATTTTAAAATAATCTTTCAGGAGGTTCGGGGATCCCAGAAAGGAATGCAGATTGTGACAAAAAGAATCTACATGTACTACAAATGCATAAAACCACCTCACTGAAGGGGGTGGGGGGGGGGGAAGGAGCTGATCTAAGTCACCCCGGGAGAGAATGGAGTCTGTAAAACTAAAGGCGAAAGTGTTACTGGAGAGTAGGTTCTTGTCTTGTCACAGAAAGAATTCAGAGATGAAACATGGAGGTCAAGAAAGTAAAGTGAGGGTTTATTAAGCCATAGGTTGCTCTCAAGGGGCAAGCGGGCAGATTCAGGAGAGTAGCTGCGCTCAGTTTCTTTGGCAAGCTGGTTATATGGGGTATAAAAATGAATGGACAGAATATTCACTGGGGAGCGAGGAGTTTGGGGTCATATTCCCTGATTTTCATCCCAACTCCACCTTCCTGAGGGGAGGAGGGATTTTTGTCCTTAGTTAGTCTTGATGGGAAGTGTCATGGCATTGGTGCATGATGGGTACTTCTAATCTGAAAGGCTAATTTTATTCAAATGAGCATATAATGAGACTCAAGGTCTACTAGAAGTCAAATCTTCTGCCATCCTGTGCCTAGTTGGCTCTACCCAGTTTACATCTTCTCCTCAATGGCTGTGTCATTCTTTCAATGGCTGGGCCCTGCCCCCTTCCCTCTTGTCTCATTCTCCCCTCAGAGATTTTACTCCCATAATCTTATGGGAAGCAGAGGAGCTATAGTCCATAGCTGCTTCAGGGTTGAGTAGGGGCATCAACCCTGCCTGTCAGGGAGTTAAAAAGCCACAGATAAACACCTGATTGTAATGTAATTGATAAAGAAATGTAGTTACAATAACTAGAATTATGACTGATTACATTTAACTTAAACTACCAAATAATCCTAGTTAATATAATATTTCTCTGAGATGCCTCTGGGTTCTTCCACAAACCTACAACTCTATATCCATATTATTTTGAACTTTATTTTCTTTTCCATTCATAAACAACCAGCTCTAGGAAAAAATCACTCTCTTCTCCCTTAACAAAATGCAATTCCATTCCTCATACTTCCTTTTGTTCAAAACACACATCTTACTTTCATATCGTATACTGAAATGTTTCCTTTATTTTTTAGTAGTTTTAATTACATATTTAAATTAGAATCCTCATCTCTTAAAAACCTTAATTTTTAGTGAAAACTAAGAAGTAAGCAATTATGAACTGTCTTTTACCTTAGCATTTATAGATTGGCAAACATAAATACCAATAATAATTTCTGAAAAGATATGTGCTTTTTATAGAAAATATCTCAAGGTGGTAACAAACATTCATCAACAATCCTAAATACCTTTAGTTTCTCTGTGAGGGAAGCCAATGCTCGGTAATTAATGGTTCAGTATCTGATTTTATTTGGCAATGACCTAGCTATTCAATAAATTTCCATCATTTAACTTAAGTAAGCATGACTCTAAAACTTCAAGTTACCAAATACCTGGAGAGATCATTTTTAAGTAGGCATTCCTAAAGTATAATTGTTTCTGAAGAGTTTACCTAAAAGCTCCTATTTCATTTACATTTACTTTTCCTTGAAAGTTTTTTCCCATTGAGTTATTTTCCTGGCTGACAAATTTCTAACAGTTATAACAAGGTCTTATTTGACCTCTAGTAAACCTAGGTACAACAGAAGTATTATACTTAACACCGATAACCCTAAAAACATGTCTATATTAATTGAGCCAACAAGCTTAAGGTAGCTTCAATACCAGATATCGACTCAGTACTGAATATCTCCCAGATCACGTGAACCTGAAATTCACTCTGGTCAGTTTCTTTTATATTTCTGAGTATTTATTTAAGTGCTTAAGTCCCTTTAAGGTAATTAAATAGAGCTCTTTCACAAATTAATTTTGGCTATACCATACATACATCCAGAACACACATACAAACACACAAAGAAACACAGAGACCTCATAGTTTCCATTCCAAAATTTAAAACCCATCAGTTACAAAAGAGGTTGGATTCAAATTGGGTTTATGGCAGATGAACAAATCAAGGTCACCTGTCTTTTTACTAATATTTATGGAAAATCATTTAAGATTCCTATTCATCTTGACAAATCAAGTTCCAAATTACTTACCCTTTTCTCAAAATTTGCACTGTAAAAAAAGATAGCGAGCTCAGGGTTCCCAGAAAAGACCAGGTGGAACATTTGCATCTCAAAGGCTTGAGAAAGGCAAGTTCCTCCTAGGATGACTTTGTTCCCTGAAGAACAGAAAAACAATGGTTTTCCCAATGCTTACAAGCCTCTTAAAACAAGCAGGGTAGGTTTAGGGAGTAGTGGAAGGATGTTGGATTATTTCTGGCACTACACCTCTGGTCCTGGAAAGACTAGATTTGTAAAACAAGGACATTTTTTTCCCCTCAAAGAATTCACTGCCACCTCATTGATACCAAAGGACTGACACATCCCTTCACCTATGTTGGAATGTTTTACTTTCCTTCATGTAGGTTAGAGGAGACGCCTCCCCCAAAATTCCTATCAGGCTTTGAACGTCAGCTATGGTTGGTCTAGTTAGACCGGCGGACTCCCATTTTGATCATCTTTTTTACAAACACATTTGAGGATCCTCCCTGGGTTTGAGAAGTTCTCTGATTATGGCCCTCAGTTCTGCCTTTGACCTGAAGAGGCTTGCCTGCAGCCTCATGTGGTCTCCTTTCTAAAGATGCCTGAAAATAGTAGCTCTGCCAGGGACCTCAGTTCCCCAGATAGCAGGGTTCACTTGAGAAACAATACGGGGTGGGAGACCTCCTCTTGTTCAAACTCGTCCTGCTTGCCGCACGACAGGCCAATAAATCGGGAGACGGGGTATTGGGGCAAGGAACAGAGACTTTATTCAGAAAGCCGGCAGACTGAGAGGATGGCAGGCTAATGTCTTAGAGAACCATCCTGCTCTAGTCAGAGTACAGGCTCCTTTTATACAAAAAAACAGGGAGGGGGTGTGGTTGGTTGTTGCGATCTTCTTGCTGCAGGCATTCTTTGTTCTTGCAGCCGCAGCCGTCCCCATGGGCCAGGTCACGGTGTCCCTGTACACCTCCAACAAAACAAAGGTTATTCTCTACTACACTCTGGCTTGGGACTGAGGCAGGCGCCCACGGCCAAGAGCAGTCTTGGTGGGTATCTTCCTCATCAGGGTCTCCAAATTAGACTATTGTCTGGAATTTAGTGAGTAAGTCCCTTCCCTGCAAGGGAATGGGGCACTCAGGCATGAGCAGAAAGTGACGTGCAGAGGTAAAATTTCCTAGCCAGCAGCTGAGGATGGCAGGTGAGGGGTGAACCACTTGGTTTGGGGCCTTCCATCCATTCCGTTATCCTACAGGATTGGGAGGACAAGGGTCCAGGCAAATCAGTCAGCACAGAGTAGGCGGCCCCATACCTAGTAAGAAAATAACTTTCCTACCTGCCACATCAAGGGTCACCCGAGGCTCCTTTGGAGAAATGACCAGGTGTCCCATGCGAGCCTGGGAGGTTTCCTGGGCCTGTCAGTCTTCAGTCCTCTTGGCCATCAATGGTTTGGGAGTCCCAAGTCCCCTTCATGACTGGGGGCACTGGTCCTTCCAGTGGCCCTCCTGTCCCACTTAAAACACATCCTTCCTCAGCGAGACACTAGCTCTGATTCAGGTGTCCTGGATTCTGTCCTCACCATGGGTCTTCACAAGTGAGGGTCACCCTGAGGTGGGGCAGGGGTGGGCTGCCACCAATAACTGTGCCTTTCGCTGTTGTCCCTGAATCTTTTCTGTCTCTTCAACCTTGTCTCTACTGTTGAATATGCCAAACGCCAAGTCCATGAGCTGACTCATGGGGGTCTGGGGTCTCCAGCCCCCCAGTTGGGGCATTAGGGTTAGATGGCCTGGAAGACTGTCCCCACTCAGAACCAGGAGTAGGAGCTCCCAGTTGTGGAGCTCAGGGAGTGGACTCATGAGGGTCGTTGAAAACATGGAGCTCCTGTGGGGGAAGAAGGTGCTTTGAAGGGGCGTGAGCCAAACACACGCAGCAGGAGTTCTTGAGACATGGAACTTGGAACAGAGTCACAACATTTGGATGCATGGGATGTCTCCTCCATTTTTGGTCAAGATGTCACAAGACAGGGGTCTGATGGGTCCTGGCCAGATGGTAGTCATTTGTCCTAGGACTCTCCCAGTGTCCCTGATGTCTCAAGATCCGCGACGGCCTGACTCCGGGCTAGGGGATTTGGCAGAAAAGGTGTTTAATTAAGCATGGAAAACTGGGCTTGTGGCCATTCGGCTGTGAGAAAGGGTCTGTCTGCTTGGCAAAGACAAGAGTGGGGTCCCGGTGGGCACCTGAAATCTGCCTGTTTGAGGCCTCTTGGATCAGCCAAGGAGAGAAACAAGAGCCAGCAGGAGAAAAAGTGACCAGAGTCCCTGGGCCTAAATCCTTCAGAGAGACAGGAGACCCAGGCCCTGAGTCAACTCAATCCGATTACCTTTATCTTCTGAAAGAAAAAGAGAAAGAAATAGAGCTGAAGAGTGGGGCTGGAGCGCCACAGGGCAGTGATATTAATACAAGGCAGAACCTCCCCTCAGGGTACAGTCCTTGTGATGCTGAGGACAGGTACCTCTTCACAGAACACTCCACCTGCTGGCAAAGCCAGCGGCAAGGAGGCTCAAGGAGAGGAGCAGAGGAGGATAGCTGAGAATCTAGGGAGAAGGGAGGTGTACAGCCAAGAGGCTTCCCAGAGTAGACAGGAATTGGCAGGAAGGCGTAGAGCCAGGATGCTTCCTGGGAGAAGTTTCGTAAGCCCGCTGAGAAGGGTGCTCGACAGCTACCTCCGCTCAGGGGTTGATGAAGTCCGTAACCCCTGTGAGGTAAATGCGACTTTCCGGATGTAACAAAGAAGTTCTGGCCACACTTCTGGAAGGATAGAGGCTTGTAGGGCCAGGGAGGGACTGAAGATGGTGAGTCACAACAGTAACTCCGACAAACCGCGGGGAGTTCTCCAGCATCTCCTCCAGGTCACTGATTACGAGGATAGTGTGAGAGGACAGAAGAGCCTAAGATGCGAGAAGATGCGGTGTGGGATCCCGGTGGGGGAAAGACATTAGGGGAAAGCCAAGGAAATCTTAGGACGACTCTGGACCTCAGTTGGTGACAAGGTGCAATACCAGTTGATTCTGGTAACCACCGTACCACACAATGGAGAGCATTAGAAACCCGGGGAGCTGGGTGTGGGTGTGTGGGAACGCTCACTACTGTTTCTGCGACTTGTCTGTGCACCTAAAACTATTATGATATAAAAAGTTTACTTAAAACATGAAAACAAATTTGAAAAATCCTGTTAGAGCATCTGTGGGTGAGCACAGCTGGGTAGCAAGGGGGGCGGGGCCGGGTTGCCCTCCCCCCACCCGCCTGGCAGCCTGCCCCTTTCACCCCCTTTGTCCCCTTCCCAGCAGATGGAAGCACAAAGCCCTTCAAGGTGGACTCCAGCCTTCCCTTTGTTCCCAGCTTATTCTCATTCCAAACTCTGGGTGCCCGGAGCCTGGTGCCCCGCCGCCTCCAAAGAGGAGGAGCCCCCAGCCTATCTCCAGCTGAGAGATCCTCCTGGCATAACCAGTCACCCCAGGGAGGGTGCCCTCCCACCCAGCCCCATCCAAGGTGCATGGCCACTCTGTGGCCCGGGTTGCTGCAGGCACTGAGTCCCATTCCCAGGCCGAATTCCCAGGCCTCCCTGGACAAAGGGAGCCCTCAGGCTGGCCCTCCCTTCCCTGGCCTCCTCCTTCCAGCTCCCCCTCTTCCCCTCCCTCTCCTCAGCTCCTACTCCAACCGCCACCCCCCCAACGCCCCCGCCCGCCTAACTGGGCTCTGAAAGGCCACCGGCCTTCTGCCTGCAGAACACTCTGCTTCTCACCCGGGGGAGGCAAGGCTGTAGGAGGCGAACCTCCACCCTGTCCTGCACATGCTCGGGAACCAGCCTCGAAGGGCCGTTAGTACAAGGGCCTGGCAGGGGACAGCCTCCTGGCCCTCAGCTGAGATGCCGGGGTGTCCACCCTCCCCCTCCCCAGCAGCTGCTGCAGGGGGATGGGGGTGTTGGCAAATCCACCTTTGCCAAGCCCTGAAAAGCCACCGAGGGCTGGAGAGCCCTCTGCCTTTGTTCTCCTCGGGTGCTCAGCACACCGAGAGCGCTGCCTCATGAGCACTGCAGCTGTCCCTGTCAGCCTGGACCTTCCCACAGGCTGCTCAGGTCAACGTACCAGAGGCCAGAGTTCCAGACTCCGGCTCCCATTTCAAGAAAGTCCTGCCGAATCATCCCGGAGGCGAGGATGGGTCGGTGAACTTCGCGCAGCTTCGAAGCCCAGCTCGGCTTGGCTGGGCACGGGCGGCTGCCCAGGCGCAGGCACAGGCTAAGGGCTCCCTTGCCTCCTCTTTAGCTTCTGGGACCGGTGGCAGCTGTGCCGAATCCTGCAGGATCAGAGGTGGGTGGGCACAGGCCAAGGCGCAGGGAGGGCCCCTCGGGAGGCACACTCCTTTCCAGGACTGGGGAGCCCACCGGCCAGCTCGTGCCCAATCTCACATGCCATGGAGGAGAATCTAGGTTGATCTTTGGCACAGAGAAAAAAGCACAGAGAAGAGCAGATGGGAGGGACTGGTCAGATTTGGGCTGCAGAGAGAAGCACGCTAGTGCACAGGCCAAGAGCACGAGGCTGCTATGGGGTCCAGGAGAGGTAGGGGGCCTTACCCACCTGGGGAAAACCTGAGCCGGGGAGGGAGCGAGGGTGCAGCCCTGTCGAGTGGGGTCCGGGGGGGGTGCTGTCGCACCCTGCAGATGTGGAGGTAGCAGTCCCTGGAGCAGTGAGAGCCGTTCTCGGCTGCCAGCTCACCCTTCACCGCTCTCTTCAGCCACCTCCCTCTCCACAGCCTCTGACCCTGCAGAGGCAGCCCCAGGTGGCAGGTCCCTCCATGTCCTGTAACTGGCCTTGGACCACGTTCCCTCCCGTCCCAGCCGGCCAAGGGGGAAGAGGCCCCACCCTTGTCTCTGGTCACCCCGCTCAGGCCTCCCTCGTTTCACCCTCTGCCCTCATCCTAAAGTGCCATCGGCACCACCCACCATCTCCCTCCCCTGCCCCTGCCTTCCCTCCCCACCGAGATCCTAGGACTGGCAAGATCTTAAATTCTCAAGAGTCTCCCGCACCCCGCAGCGTCCTCACTTCCCCTGCTTCTCTTGGCACCACCGGCCCGACCTCCGTCTGCTCGGATGCGCAATCCTCTCCATAGACGCTGCCTCACCCAGTTCATCACCACGGCTAATGCCCTCCCTTCACAGGCGTCACCTCCTCGGCCTGCAAGCACTCCCTGCCCCTTTTCCTTTGCCTGCTCCGCGGGATCCTTTCCTCTCTCAAATGTGCAGATGGGGGGTGCCTGAGGTTTGTGGGCCTGGCCCTCCCCTCCCCCTACAACCCCAATCCTCACTCTGCAGGCAGCCTCGCTTCTCCAGGCCATCCATGGGTCACATACTCCTCCATCGTCTCTTTGTCTCCCAACCAGCCTCACTCTTAGGCTGGGCCAGAGGACTCAACGCAGGGTCTCCTGAGGAGCAGGGTGACCCCATCACCTCGAGGGTTCCAAGCCTCCAGTACCCCCACCTAGCCCCAACGCTGGAGACCCCGCCTGTCTCCCATACAGGCCCCTGAGCTCTCTGGCAGCCAGTGGATGCTGCCCCTCCCTCACCTAGCAGGCTCGAGCTGGCTCGGGCCAGAACTGCTTTTCTTCCTAAAGCCGCCGGATGGCTGAGGGTTTAGCTTAACGGGATGAGCCATCTGGGGACTGCAGAGTGGCGGTCCGGGAGCCTGGGACTGGGGGCAGGGGTGGGGGCGGGCACACTTTACATCTCCAGCGGGGACAATGACCCCCTCCTTCCCCAACCTACGGCTGGCCTGGCCTTGTAAAATTCCGAGCGGGCTGCTCAACTGCTGATAGGGAAGCCGCTAACAATCTTGCTCTTGCTGGGGAGGCCTGGAGGTCCCTTGGGAGAGCAGCACTGAGGAAGGGGAGCTGGGGCCTCACAGCTGAGGCCTCTAGGGGAGGGTCCATGCACCCACCAGGCACCAGGGGGCAGCCTTATCCTATTTCTGCCCAAGTCTCCTGCAGGTCAGGCAAGGGTAGGGGGCAGCAGCAGTCCCTACAACCCCCCCACCCCACATTGGTGAAGAAGTGTGACCTTGTGCCTCAGCAGGGCAGGCTCCCCTCTGCCTGCTCAGGGGACTCACGGAGACCTGTCACCCTCAGAGCTATGGCTCTGCCCTCCAACTTCAGGGCTGAGACGCCCGAGGAGGGCTAAAGGCAGGAGACAGGGTCTCTGGCAAAGCCCCACAGCACACCTGGAAGCAGAACCCACCCCACCTCCTCGCCCAGCCTTTCCTTTGTTGAAGGCTGGGCCTAGCCCTTCAAGAGGCCGAAGCACCCTGCACTTCCTCTGGTGCAGGGGAGCCAAGAAACCAGAGAACTTGGTACCCAATAGTGGCCCAGCCCGCAACTGGGAGCCAGAGAAGGGCGGGAGACAGGATAAGCTGGAAAAAAGAGAGAGGGAGGCCAAGGATGTGTCGAAGACAGCCAGGGCAGTGGCTTGCCTACAACCGGGAAGGGCAGGTTAGGAGGGTCGTTGCGGGCCGGCGTCAGGCCCAGGTGAACCGGGGGTCAGGGATGGCAAGGCTCCTGGGGAGGAAGTGCTGGCCAGCGCCCCAGGTAGCAGCCATCCAGCTTCTCGCTGGAGCGGCGTCTCCTCGGGAGGAGGGCGGGAGGAGGTGGGCGGAGTGACGGGGAGGGCGGGAGGGACGGACGGAGGAGGGGGAGGGGAACCAGCCGGGTCGTGGGGGTGGGGCGATAGTGACATCATCCTGGAGTCGGTTCTTAAGCGGCAGCCGGTCAGGCCGGGGAGGAGAGGCACGATCGGAGCGCAGTGGTGAGTCGC